TGTTTTGCTATTTGAAAAGGGAGTTTTGCTATTTGAAATGGGTGTTTTGCTGTTTGAAAAGGGAGTTTTGCTATTTGAAAAGGGAGTTTTGCTATTTGACAAGGGAGTTTTGCTATTTGAAAAGGGGGTTTTGCTATTTCAAACAACCATCATGTTTCATGCCAAAACGTCTCAGACACATGATATACCAACTAAATTACGATCATATTGAATATCTTGGACTTGGTAAGGTCATGTGCTACCAGCAAAAAATAAGTACGCAGATAGCAAGAGTTTCGCGTACCTACGTGGTACGTGGCTGAAAACAAATAAGTATCAGACAGTAATATTGGCGCACCTCAGGTACGTAAGTATGCAAATTATTGCACCCGGATGCAGTGTTGGTGTTTTTATACTTAAATGTAATCTCTCATTAGTCAAGTCATTCTATATATTGAGAAAGCTTGGTGGAGGAGTGATAGTTAATCTGGCATCTTTTCAAATGTTAAGTACACTGATAGTTACTTAACATGAGCTCATGTTGGAAGATGCAAAAAAATATTGTTCAAGAGCCAATTAGCATAATCCCAGGTTACCCTAAAACTTCAACACAAAATTCCCAACAGCTTCTTCAAAAAATTGTCAGAAATATTTTTCCTCAAATCTTGTCTGAATCAGTAGTAGTTTCATTTTGTGAAGTTTTAAAATAAATGGACATTTAATTTAAAATAAATGCAGAAAAACGCAAAACAAAACAGCGTGTGCTAATCATCCTTACTTGCAGCTGAAAGCTAAGCTAATTGAGAAGGACATAGATCAACCTGATCGAGTTGAAGGCTTTCTAAGGGCGCCTCTGACAGCCACCTTATGATTCATGTCTGATCACAGAGCACAGCTACGGTCAAAGAGTCAGTAATTAGGGGCTAATCTCAACCCACCCTGTCAACATTCCTTGTGGGAGAAAACCCACGACTTTCAGTAGATCGTTGACTAAATCTTTTCACATTAGTGTCACAAGTCCAATGTGAGGATCAAACCCACAATCTCAGAGCAGAAAGGCGTTCGCCCTGACGATTGCGTCACCAAAGCCCCTGACCAGGGTTAGCGCTAACCGTGCTTTAAACAACCGGCCCTGAATGTTGTGCTTTCTTTATGTTATACCTGAAGATAGGTGTCTTCAATTTCATCAGCTTGGGCGACAGCATCCTAAAGAAGAGTGGCAATAGAGCTTAAAATTTTGAAATTTTCAGCACTATCAAGTGTAATACTAGAAACTTGAAATGTGGTATCCATGCACCCCCAAAAATCTATTACCGGTATCCCAAATATGTATTCAAACATTGAAATAAGGCAAATTAAATTATTTTTAATGAATTTGATAATAAATATAATGAATCTCAGGTATGTTTATAAAAAACACACAAATAGAGATATACTATACTGCATAATATGTTCATGTCAAAAAAGATAAATTTTGCTCGAGGTCCAGTTCGAAACTGATGGAGATTTCCAATATAGAACAAATTAACTGTCTCTAAAATTTAACTGATCTATACCTCAATGACATCGAAGGCAAACGAGACATCACCAGCCAGATGGGAGGCAGCATACAATGTATTGGTAACACTAAAATATTCAATAAATATTAGGAATAAAAATTTCTCTCATTTTGAAAAATTATTTGTTGATTTCTTACCTTGGGACAAATTCCTCTTTTTCTTCTTTCAAAATACTCTTCAAGGCATCTGACGTGGCTTTTTCATCGACTAAAAATCAATTTGAAAATTTGTTGTCATTGATTTTGTTGTTGTATTTCTTTCTGTTTTGGCTGCTGTTTGAACCTACCGACCCTCAGTGGCATTTTCCTTCACAGAAAATTGACGAATTTTTGGAAATTTTAACCTAAAAGAGGGCTAAAAACAGTCTTTTTGAGTGCAAGTGGCAGGGTATGTCGGAAATTTGAAAGTTTTGTCGGAAATTTAGGAGGCTTTGCTCCTCCACCGGAAAAAGTGAATTTCTGCCACTGCCAACCCTAAGTAACTATAACATGTCACACTACCTTTGAGACCAAGATTGACCAGAGAACCAACAGCAAAACGAATTTTTTCCGTATCGGATTTTTCGCTGATAGCTGCTGCTAATGTTGCTTGTGCATTCTCAACTTTGACCTACATTACAAAACATATTGTCTTTAAAACGATGAGGGGTGTGATGTAATTATCAAAATGATGTATTTAACTAAAGGATTCATTTGAAAATTACCTGACAGTTTCCTAACAGCTTCCCAACTGAGGAGGCGTAGAAAATCGAGGCAACATCTCCAGAATCAACTTGTTTGTTTACAAATTTACAGATCTCCTACAAATAATCACAGTGAGATAATAACCCTTTAAGTGGCGATGCATCTTGACCCAACCTACTTTATTATTTCACTCTGTCTAATGCCAGACAATTTTACTCGCAAGGGGAAGGTGTTGCCACTCAGTGGGTTAAAATTATTTTAGTTTTTTATACATATAACAATATTAAAACAATATAAATAATTAAAAATATCTGGTGCTAAACAACTAAATTATACATTTTGACTGTTAACCCATTAATTAAGCTGCAAAGCTAATCCCCACTGATGAGTAAAATCATCTGGCATTGGACAAGTAAAAAATAAGTAGGGCGCATTGCAGCTCAATGGGTTAACTAGAGACATTGTCAGACTTTTTGGTAACCCATTACACTGCAGAGCTTCGCCACTGACAAGTAAAATTGTCTTGCGTTGGACAGGTAAAAAATAAGTAGGGCACACTGGGGCGCATTGCGGCTCAATGGGTTAACTTCTATTTCACAAAATGGCCAGAATATTTTACCTCAGCCTTGGGTACATTAGAATTCAACAGTTTAAGAGAGGCTACATTATAGTATGCGGTTTCCAAGTCTTTTCCAGGTAGGTTCTGAGTCAACTGATCTTTTATTCTGGACTGTTCTTCAACAGTCAGTACTGTCGTAGGCGTGACACACAGTCCAACAGCAACAACGCCAAGTAACACCAACACGCTGGTTGCAACTACAAAATGCAGGTTCTTGTTTCAACTATAAATGCTATTAGATACACTATGTATGCTGTATGAACAATTGTCAATTAACTGTACCATTCTAAAATTGCCGAGGATGTATGTACCAACTAGTGAGTTTTGGCCCATTTTGCCAGAGCCGGAGTTTGTTCAACTCTGGCGGCACTTATTTGTGCTGCAAACTAATGTCAGTCATCTGCAAAAAAACCTGAATCCATCAACGAAAAAGTAAATGCTCGTACTGATACTGCATAGGCTTGCCAAAAACGTAGTACCGGTATGAAATGTTCATGTGAAGTGTTACATGTAAAATGAAAACGAAATGCAAAATTTCCTCTAAATTTCGAATTTTCATGAATTTGCCAGAGAAAATTTGTTTCTGATGGTAGCAGTGTATTAGGGCATCCAAAGGGGGTAGGGGGTTCCACAGAACCACATGCTAGTGATGTTATACATAGAAACATGCAAGAATCTCTCCCAATAACAACATTACCAGCAGAGGTCCCCCCCCCCCACAAGAGATTTGGAACCTCACAAATCCATTTTATATGAGCAATTCTAAGTAAAATTTCTAATAATTTACAAACATTTAATTTTTCAATTGGACATTATATGTGCACCAGAGACAACTGAATTGAAAATTGTACAACAGCTAAACTAAGTCAAGATAACTCCGGTGCTGGATGATCAGCACACCAATATCAGTCAATCAGTGATCTCAAAAACAAAATTAACAACAAAACTTCTTGTCCTAGATACATATACTACACAGTTGCATACAATTTTGTCTTTAAATTGCTCAAGTAAATCATACTTTACGCAAGCAATAACAATACCGACAGCGTTCAAAACTCGAAACAATGATCATTCTATTCACAGAATGAAGCATTTGCAAGTGTGTCAACTTTCGAACGCAAAAATACGCAATTCCTTGACCGCATAACTGCTATTTTTGGTTGCTATTTCAAGTGGAGGTATCGTATTTAGTAATCCGCATCGCAAAACTACGAAACTATGTACAGAACGAGGAGAAATAATGAAATCAAAACAATAATTTTGCCTTTTCAGCTACCTCGTGCGGCCATCTTTGTAAAGAGAACGTGTCAGGCTGAGAAGCCAGGCAAATGCAAAACGTCACGTGACGCCAGCACAGCGCACCCAAATTAAACAAAACTCGTGGAAAAGAAGAACTCTTTCTATGTTTTGTAATTTGTTATACTTGTTATTTACAGTTCATTTTAGTGAACGATTTAACAATGAAAATAAGCTATTTATCCAAGTTGTCAACAAGTATGGACAAGTAGTCAACTTGATAACAGTTGTAACAAGCTTGTTGGTACTATCAGACTTGTTGCAAGGTTGTTCCAACAAATCTGAAACAGTCATGATATAACAATATTGTTACAACCTTGTAACACTCTTGTTATATCATGACTGTATCAAACTTGTCAGAACAGCCTTGTAACAAGTTTTATAATGCCATCAAGCTTATTACAAGTTGTTTAACAGTACGTTCCAAACTTGTTACAACAACTGGGAACAAGCAGTGCGAACACAACTTGTCGACAGCTTGTGAACAGATTTGCAACAATTTATTTGCGGACCTGTAACAACTTGTGTGTTTTTACGGACCTGTCATAGTCAAGGTCAAGTGATGCCAGCTAGCCCACTCACCTTTTTGTAAAATTCTATATACTGTAAAAACTATATAGAGTATAATACAAAACAAGTGTAACTCCGAAGATCGATAACATTTTTATATTTATCTACATTTCAACTATATTTCAGTCATCATCAGATATATAGAGAGTATAGTTGTTCAGTATCTGGTAAATCATGTTTTGACAACACTGCCTCGTGTTCTACTACTTGCAGAAAGCTGAACAATTTGCCGTCAAAATGCTCCATAGTCTAGGCAAGTCAACTTTTTAATTAAATTAGCAAAGCAGAGAATTTTTACAAAATGGGCACATTATTAACATTTTCACCCTTTACAAATGGACAATTACTGTAAAACGTTTCATGTTCTTTAGATGGAACATCATTTGGTTCCCAATCATAAAGAACACCACCACAAAATACACACATTACTGAATCACTCGTATTTCCATCTCTGTAGATAAATCCATTTTTAGCCAGGTCAGTTGGTTTTACATTGGCATCTAAAGGATACGTCTCAAATGTTTTTAATCTTTCTTCTTCTTTTCTCAGTCTCTCTATCTCAGCCTTGTTATGCTGATCAACATCCTTGAAGAACTGTTTCAATTGGGACTCGCTGGATGTAATGGCATATTGGGATAATTGTTCTGCATCCATAACCCCCACAGATTCTGTTTGGTTCCAGACAATAACCAACAGACAGAGGCAACGAGAGGAGATGGAATACATCATCCTTTGAATCATCTCTCGAGAGCTATTATTAAACAAAAGTGGCACAGCAATAACCACCTTAGCTTCCAATCCCTTGTAACCAGAGGCAGAACACACACAGAATCGCTCTTCCTGTTGGCTGTCTAAAAACCTCTGCACTCCCACAATGCCTTTTGGAATAAATCCTTTGCTGCTGAAAAACTTTTCGAATCCTTGGTTAATTGCTGTGATATTAAGTCGTCCTTGTAGTATACTTGCAGAAGTCATTAGAACCAAGTCATTTGGCTTGATCCCTTTACGTCCACATAAATCTATTATTAACAAACACACAACTTCTTCGCGAGATACAAAATTTTCGGAGTTGACAAAATACACAGGTGGCCCAGAGATCTTGTGTGCAAGAGATAATTTCTGCATGGGAAGATGGCATGTTACTTTGTCATTCACCGCACCAATGATGTGACTATCTTCAGTTATATCATTACATACCGGTATACAACTTTTAGTGAATGTGAAGATATTTCCAGTGGATCTGAAGGTTTTGGACAGACTTATTTGAGGCATTACCTGACTTGTAGCATTGGGGCCTCCTGGAATTGCCAAATTGTACAATAGCTGGCTCCCATCCATTGTGCACCAAAAGTAGCCTTGTTCAGAGGATTTCCATGTTAATCTCAGGAAATTCATATTTTTTTTAATATTACCATACCAACCAAGATCTTCTATACCATCAACAAAAACATGAGTAAACTTTTCAGTTTCTTTATCACACCAAGATTGAAATACTTCATGAGATGCTGGAAGGGATTTGATAATTACATGTTCAATGCCATGCTTTTCAAGACACTTCCTGGCAAAATGCTTTAATCCAGATCCATAACGGCCAGTTAGTAACAAACACTTGTTCCCTGGCCCTATCTTGTTATCTTTCCACAATTTTTTAATTATAATGAGTATTAGCACAGTTTTTCCAGATCCTGGTGGACCATAAATAACAACGGGGCCATCAGTGTTATTCGGTTGACTATAGACTGCTGCAAGTTGTTCCTGTGATAGTAATATCAGTTGCGAGTCCATTGTTCCTGTTAGAGTATCGATGACAGCACTACATCCAAGCAAAGTAAACCATCTTAGTACTAAATTCCAAATGTCACCCTCAAGAACAGGTAGTTGGTTTAAGTAATCGGACAGCACAGCTGAAAATTTGTCAATATCTCGACAAACGTCTTTGAAAAAATGCTTCTTTCCACTAGAGACATCTTGAGTGAACCGCTCACGACCTTGTGGATCATGTCCAGTTAAAAACGGCCATGCCAAAATTTGCCCAACGACAGATGAATGCACTCCATATTTATCTTGGAGCACAGAAGTGTGAGCGTCTAGCTGATGCAATCCGGAACGCCTGTTGTCTTTGATGCTTTTTCCATTGCTTAACACTTTTACCAAAGGATCTGAGGAATCAGCACAGCACTTCACCTCTATCAAGCAGATTCTCTTCTCTGCTGTTAAAATAACAAAATCATGCTCTTTAAATGTCCTGCTATTTTTGCTTTCGTTTATGTATGGCCGGCCATGAAAAACAACACCAGGAATTTTCATGTATTTCAGCGAGTTAAAGATAACTTCCTCTGCTGCATCTCCCTGACTCCTCAAATGGTCTTCTTTTGATATTAAAGACGATGGTATTGCCGATAGGTTTTCGGTTGCCTGACTCTGAAATGTAGCAGGGACAAGATATGATGAGGCAGTTTGCTCGGAAAGTTCTGGAAATTCTCTTTGTATGTAGTCCTCCAAAGCGTCATTTAAACAAATCGTTGTTGTGGTATGCAATTCATTCTGAGCTGGTATATAAACAGCTTCGAAAACATCTGATTCCATTTAATATTGTACCAAAAAAGTTTTGTACAAAATTCAGTACATCTCCAGCAGTGAATGGGCTATTCCATTTAATATCCGTACCCCCCCTGTCGAGGATCCCTGGAATTCTTCAGGGGTAAAGGGTTTTGAGCTTGGAATTCTTCAGGGG